ACTCCTCTACGGTCTCTGTTCCTGCTCCCAGAGCCAAAACAATGAGCAGCTCCCCTAGTGCAGGTACTAGATGAGGCTACAGTTATCACTTTTCACTCTGAATAGTGTAAAAATTCACTTTTAGTAAACATGTTGTTTGTTTTCTCCCTCTTTCTTTGTGCAGAGATTTCAAAAAATCAAAGTAAATCACCTGGTTTGCATGTGTGAGTGTACAAAACTGGTTCTTCTTTTTGATCCATTTATCACGTTTTGAAATTAACTAGAAAAGTGTTTCTGAAAGTTTTACACGAAATTCAGAAATCCGCCTGACTTCTGACAAACCTCTGCTCACCAGCGCGGGCCCTAAAGTGAAATCCAACCATCCCTGGATGGCCATCGTGCACCCCGGTCCGTGGTCACAGCTCCCGCCAGCTCCACCTCCAGTACCTCTCCCTCGGTCCAAATCGACCCCTTACTCATGGGGATCATCAAGCAGACCCAAAATGCCTCCTCCCAATCCGTTTGAAGAGGAGGAGCTCCTAGAGGAAGCTGCCACACCCGAGGAGACCTCTGCAGCCACCGTCCAATCGGAAAACGGTGATGTAGTTGGTTCAAGTGATGCCAAAGGTCCTGTCACTGAATCTGAGCTGAATACAGATCAAACAGCGTATTCTGAAGGGGGGTGTGGAGGTAAAGAAGTTGAATCAGAAGCAGCGACCCCCACAGAGGGAGGATCAGCTGGCCAGATTGGTAAGACTGAAACAGCAGGGCATTTTTTCAGATTCAGGACACGATCAGGATTTATCCAGAAGCCTTTCTGTCTCAGAGATCACACCTGAGCACTCTGCCTCGGACCCAGCAGGACAACAGGAAGCTAATGGATGTGACAAGAAGGTAAGAATGCCAAGCACCTACCTCGATCTAATGTTAATGTTTGTCTAGTTTTTGTTGTTTAAGAAGCAAGTTCACTAAAAATGTTTTTGATTTGTTATTTCCAAAATATGATCGGTGACTGAGTTTAAATTGCATGCTGAACGCGAAAACAGTCATCTACCCCTATTTCCTGCATTAGCCACCCACAGACAATAGCTGGAGAAACGCTCGCAGCCACACAGATCTACATCACACTGAAAACTAGCATTGATGGACTCACCCATGTTGACTCGCGACGGGGAAGGCTGTTGTTGGTTTAGCATCCAGGAGAGAGCAGAGCACGTCTCGGCTATGGAAGCTAACCATTAGCATTAGCAACTCCACAACATGACAGAACTCCTTAAGGCTTGTGTCATTTGTGGAAATAAAAGATCAAAGTTGGAGAGCGAACAATGCTAGTGGAAGAGTCGCATTGCTGTTAGCCAATCAATTGCAGAGTTAACTGCATACTGAAATCACCTCTGTTGCTATTCAGTGGAGATTCCGAAAAATGACCAATCAGATGAACCTATGAGGCTTAGATCATATATAAATATCCCGGATACTTATATCGATCTAAGTTCATACATCAACCTGTTTGATCCAATTTTAATCCAAGGATTAATGTTTAATTTAGATAATTGAAACGACAATCATAAACGACAATTCATGGATGACAATTTAATGACAATTTTTAACAGCTTTGATATTAAAATTGTTTTAAAAGCAAACCTGTGGCTGGATGGAAGCTAAATGAAAAATACGAGTTTGGATGCGTGAATGAGATTATTAGAAGGTTTCTTTCACAGAGAGCAGAAGCATTCTGGATGGAATTGATGCTTTGCGGCTAACTGAGTTATTTAGAGAGAACAGCATCAAATGCATTCTCGTGTTCTACCTCACCCAAACAGGACCCTCTTGTGGATCCCGAGATCAGGAGGATGTGTTCATCCAAGATGACACTCAGTCTGGCAGGGGAGACGCAAGTGTTCGATCGTCTGGTCCAGAGTTGTCCCGGGTACACGGTTGTCAGGCGTTTGGCAGATGGACGTTCTCGTCTTAACTTAACTTGAGAAATCAATGACTCTGGGTAGAGTTTTCGTTAGCTGGTTACAGTTTCGTTTATTCTCAGCTATTCTTGTCGGCGTGACTGGAACAGCAGGTGGAGGTTTCAGGGACGGCCGTTCCCTTTCCTCCGTGGTGTCGGTTCAAGAACTGACTGAAGCTGGTGATGGTTAGTTTCACCAAGCTCTCAGGACACTCCCACTCTCTCAGGAAGAAAGCTTTGGTCATGCGTCAAAACCATGTGTTGCAGTTATCGTTTATCTGGACTCTGTGTTAGATGGATAAGGTGAACTTGACCTTCTGATATGCTGAACACATCTTTTACTGTCATCATAATCATTATTAATATTAATCATCATTATACCCAAAGCATAATAATTCATTTCATGTAATTAAAATACCTTTATACTGAACCAATTGATCATTTATGAGATTATATTAAACAGTAGTAAAATCAATGAGTTTTATTAATTATTATTATCTAATTATTATCATCGTGACTTGAAGTGTCCTCCTCCTGGGATGGAACAGCAGCAGATATGGATATGATCTTGAGACATCGTGGCTCCTTGGGTTAATCTGTGGATTTAAAAGTACTGTTTGACCCAGCTTGACCCAGCTGGGTAGATGTGACCTTTGCCACAAATTAGAGAACCTTCATCACGTTACATAATTCAATTCAATTCAAAAGTCTCTCGTCTCTCGTCTTCCTCCGCTTATCCGGGTCCGGGTCGCGGGGGCAGCATCCCAACTAGGGAGCTCCAGGCCGTCCTCTCCCGGCCTTGTCCACCAGCTCCTCCGGCAGGACCCCAAGGCGTTCCCGGACCAGATTGGAGATGTAACCTCTCCAACGTGTCCTGGGTCGACCCGGGGGCCTTCTGCCGGCAGGACATGCCCGAAACACCTCCCCGGGGAGGCGTCCAGGAGGCATCCTGACCAGATGCCCAAACCACCTCAACTGGCTCCTTTCGATCCGGAGGAGCAGCGGTTCTACTCCGAGTCCCTCCCGAATGTCCGAGCTCCTCACCCTATCTCTAAGGCTGAGCCCGGCCACCCTACGGAGGAAACTCATTTTGGCCGCTTGTATCCGCGATCTCGTTCTTTCGGTCATTACCCAAAGCTCATGACCATAGGTGAGGATTGGGACGTAGATCGACCGGTAAATCGAGAGCCTGGCTTTCTGGCTCAGCTCCCTCTTCCCCACGACAGATCGGCTCAGCGTCCGCATCACTGCAGACGCCGAACCAATCCGCCTGTCGATCTCCCGATCCCTCCTACCCTCACTCGTGAACAAGACCCCGAGATACTTAAACTCCTCCACTTGAGGTAGGACCTCTCCCCCGACCCGGAGGTGGCAAGCCACCCTTTTCCGGTCGAGAACCATGGTCTCAGATTTGGAGGTGCTGATCCTCATCCCAGCCGCTTCACATTCGGCCGCGAACCTACCCAGCAAGAGCTGAAGGTCAGAGCTGGATGAAGCTAGGAGGACCACATCATCCGCAAAAAGCAGAGACGAGATTCTCCTGCCACCAAACTCGACACACTCCACACCACGGCTGCGTCTAGAAATTCTGTCCATAAAAGTGATGAACAGAACCGGTGACAAAGGGCAGCCCTGGCGGAGTCCAACCCTCACTGGGAACAGGTCCGACTTACTACCGGCTATGCGGACCAAACTCACGCTCCTCTGGTAAAGGGACTGAATGGCCCTTAACAGAAAGCCACCCACCCCATACTCCTGGAGCGTCCCCCACAGGGTGCCCCTGGGGACACGGTCATAAGCCTTCTCCAAATCCACAAAGCACATGTGGATTGGTTGGGCAAACTCCCATGCCCCCTCCATCACCCTTGCAAGGGTATAGAGCTGGTCCACAGTTCCACGGCCAGGACGAAAACCACATTGCTCCTCCTCTATCTGAGATTCAACTATCGATCGGACCCTCCTCTCCAGTACCTTGGAGTAGACCTTTCCAGGGAGGCTGAGGAGTGTGATCCCCCTATAGTTGGAACACACCCTCAGGTCACCCTTCTTAAAGATGGGGACCACCACCCCGGTCTGCCACTCCCTAGGAACTGCCCCCGATGACCACGCAATGTTGTAGAGACGTGTCAACCATGACAGCCCTACAACATCCATAGCCTTGAGATACCCAGGACGAACCTCATCCGCCCCCGGGGCTCCGCCGCTGTGTAGTTGTTTGACTACCTCAGCAACTTCTGCCCCCGAGATCGGACAGTCCATCCCCAGGCCTCCCAGCTCTGGTTCCTCCTCGGAATGCGCATTGGTGGGATTGAGGAGCTCCTCAAAGTATTCCTTCCACCGTCCGACTATAGCCTCAGTTGACGTCAGCAGCTCCCCATCCCCACTGTAAACAGTGTGAGCGAGTTGCTGCCTTCCTCTCCTGAGGCGCCGGACAGTTTGCCAGAACCTCTTTGGAGCCGATCGATAGTCTTTCTCCATGGCCTCACCAAACTCCTCCCACGCCCGAGATTTTGCCTCGGCAACTGCCACTGCTGCACCCCGCTTGGCTATCCGGTACCTGTCTGCTGCCTCCGGAGACCCACAGACCAGCCACGCCCTGTAGGCCTCATTCTTCAGCCTGACGGCTCCCCGAACCTCTGGTGTCCACCAGCGGGTACGGGGGTTGCCACCACGACTGGCACCGGCCACCTTACGACCACAGCTAGCAACAGCCGCCTCGACAATCGCAGAGTGGAACAAGGCCCACTCGGACTCAATGTCCCCCACTGCTCTCGGGACGTGGTCAAAGCTCTGCCGGAGGTGGGAGTTGAAGACCGTCTTGACAGGTTCTTCTGCCAGGCGTTCCCAGCAGACCCTCACTATGCGTTTGGGTCTGCCAGGTCTACGCGGCATGTTCCCTTGCCATCTGATCCAACTCACCACCAGGTGGTGATCAGTTGACAGCTCCGCCCCTCTCTTCACTCGGGTGTCCAAAACATACGGCCGCAGGTCAGATGATACGACTACAAAATCTATCATCGACCTGTGACCTAGGCTGCCCTGGTACCAAGTGTACCGGTGGGCATCCTTATGTTCGAACATGGTGTTCGTTATGGCCAAACTGCGGCTTGCACAGAAGTCCAATAACGAAACACCGCTCGAGTTCTGATCAGGTGGGCCGTTCCTCCCAATCACACCCCTCCAGGTCAAGCTGTCATTGCCCACGTGAGCATTGAAGTCCCCCAGCAGGACAATGGAGTCCCCTGATGGAGCACTATCTAGCACTCGTCCCAGGGACTCCAAAAAGGGTGGGTACTCTGAACTGATATTTGGCCCATAAGCACAAACAACAGTCAGGACCCGTTCCCCGACCCGAAGGCGCAAGGAAGCTACCCTCTTGTCCCCCGGGGTAAACCCCAACACACAGGCAGAGAGTCTCGGGGCTAACAAAAAGCCAACCCCAGCCCTCCGCCTCTCACCCGGAGCAACTCCAGCAAAGTAGAGTGTCCAACCCCTCTCCAGGTCTCGGGTTCCAGAGCCAATGCAATGTGTCGAGGTGAGTCCGACTATATCTAGCCGGTACCGCTCAACCTCTGCCACAAGCTCCGGCTCCTTCCCCGCCAGCGAGGTGACGTTCCATGTCCCAAAAACTAGTTTTCTTGTCCGGGGATTGGACCGCCAAGGCTCCCGCCTTGGTCTGCCACCCGATTCGCATTGCACCGGACCCTTCATGTTCCTTCTGCGGGTGGTGGGTCCACAGTTGGACGAGCCCATGTATCCGGTTCGGGCTGGGCCCGGCCGGGCCCCATGGGCGAAAGCCCGGCCACCAGGCGCTCGCTCACGGGCCCCAACCCCAGGCCTGGCTCCAGGGTGGGACCCCGGTAACCCTCCGGGCCTGGTACTCCGACTCTTCGTTTTAACCGCCATGAAAGATACTTCAAAAGTACTTTATTAATCCCAGAGGGAAATTGATTGCTGTAGTAGCTCAGAATCATAATAATAATCAAGTCATCAAAGAGTTGTTGTATATTACAATGGCTGTTGGCAGGAAGGATCTCCAGTAGCGGTCAGTGTTGCAGCCAAACTGAAGAAGCCTCTGACTGAAGACACACTTCCGTTGTCGGACAGTCTTGTGAAGAGAATGCTCAGGGTTGTCCATCATTTTCTTGATTCTCTGGAGAATCCTTCTTTGCATTATCTCCTCCAGCGGTTCCGAAACTGCCGAAACTCTGGCTGAGTCCTTGAAAGGGCTTGGAGTTCCTCCATCTTGTTGGCCAGTGATCTCACATTGCCCATTATGATCGATGGAAGAGATGGTTTGAATTTCCTCTTTCTCTGTCTCCGTTTTGCTCCCGCTCTGCACCCACGCTTCTTGTGTTTTAGCTCATTTGGGATTTGTGGCTTCAGTTGAGGTATTATTTCAGCCTTTCCAATGTTAATCAGCTGCTCCCGATTGTAAACCGGCTTGTTGCCATGGTTATGCATCATAACAAATGCTCAAAAAGTGAAAAAAGCTAAAAAAAATAGCAGTAAAAATCCTCCAAGCTTCACAGCACCCGAAACAGAAGAGTAAAGTGTCCAAAAAATACAGTTTTTCTTGAGAAACTAGAAGAAACAATGTCCAAGAAAAGGTAAAACTTACATATAGTCAACAGAGCTACTCCAACATGCAGCCACCCAGAGCAGCGCAGTTTACTGGTTAGAGGGGAGACGTATCATGTATATTATTGAGCAAGACTCCAAATCCTGCTGTTTCCTGCTCAACACACTCCTCTGGCTAACTTCTACTTCCTGTAACAGGAGCGCCAGAGCTTTTTTTCCTCAGAAAACAACTCTAGTTATTTATTTATACTAGAGACCATGGCAGATTTATTGAAACAATGAGGGGAATAAGAGCTTTAAGACAGTCCTGTGATTTTCCACATGTCTATAAATATATGTATGTATATACATATATACAATATGTACTTTTTCACTAATTGTAGGATGTCTGCAAAGAAAACTCTTCCTCTGGAAAACCCGAGTTGTCCAAATCTAGGAGTTTACAGAACGTGTCGTCCACTCGTGGCCCGGCTCCAGGTCACGGTTTCCCCCTCATCAGGAGGAAGGTACAGTGGCTGAATTTTAAACCAAGCACCAGTTTGAGATGATCTCCTTTTATGCATCTATGTTTGTTTTTATGTTGCATAAAAGGTGCAAACAGACCAACACGTTTCCACGGAGGACCTGCAGAAGCAGAGGAAAGAACTGGAAAGTCATTTAGAAGAACTGGAACAGCAAGGAGTCGACCTGGAGAGGATAGTCAGAGATGACAAGAGCAGTAAAATAATTCACTTGCACAGATTTATTCTTGCGTTAGAAATCTTGTTCCCATCTTTCTTTTTTTAATTTTAGGTAAAGAAGAACAAATGCTAACGGAGTGGATCAAAGTTTTCCACGAGAGACAAGATCTGCTGCACAAGGACCAAGAACTCAACAACCTGTGAGTGGACTACATGGAAATGTTGCTGTCGGTTTGGCAACGTCACATTTTTATGACCTGAGAAGAAAAACTCTGATTTTTGTGGGTTTTCCTCAGAATAAAACAGCAACATTTAGAGGATAAACAAGCAGACGTGGAGTATGAGCTCAGATGTCTCCTTAATAAACCAGGTCTGTGTGTGTTTCAGTTTGTCATACATTAAAGGGGCATTATGGAAGTTTGACAGCCAAAACATGTATAGAAATAATAAATGTCTTCTTCATACATTCTCCTGCAATGCCCTGGTCCTGTAGAATGAGCCCTGGCATTTTTACTGTGATTGCCTGTTTTTCTGTGAAATCACAGAAAAAGAGAGATGCTCGGGTCGAGCAGGCTGCTTCATGCACGTTCACGCTCAGGCATCGCCCGTAGCGTTTGCTATCAGTAGCTTTAGCAGCAGAGAGAGAGGCAGTGCCACTTTGTCGCTGTTCCTAACGCCTAGTGACAAAGCTAGCTACATTTCTGAGGACCCTTAGCTACTTTCTTCTAGATATTTCCTGCAAATTAGCAACAAAATAGCCATTTTCGCTCTGAACCGTTCTTTGAACGTTGTTTCAGCTGTCATCAAGGACATAAACGTTACAGATAAATTAAATGTTGCTGGTGCTTTAGCTCACCTAGTAAGATGTCTGACTCCCATGCTGAAAACCCGTGATCGATTCTGGATGTGAACATAGTTTATTTAGAGTTTCTTTTTTACATTAATGTTATTTTTTTTTTACAGTAAGATGTCCAAATTTTTATTTGAAACTCGCCGAACGGCATTGAATTCACAGATAAAAAAGATGTGGGTTCAACTTTCATTTTGGAACAATTTTTCAAGCAAGGGAAGGGAATGATCTGAGCATGCAGGAGGACTGACCCATCTTAAACCTTTGTCGGCTGTGCTGAAGAGAAAGCTACAGAACCAAATTATTTCATTAATTAGCTGTGTGTTCTCCTGTCCCCTGTCCTCTGGGCCACTTACACACACACACACACACACACACACACACACACACACACACACACACACACACACACACACACACACACACACACACACACACACACACACACACACACACACACACACACACACACACACACACACACACACACACACACACACACACACACACACACACACACACACACACACACACACACACACACACACACACACACACACACACACACACACACACACACACACACACACACACACACACACACACACACACACACACACACACACACACACACACACACACACACACACACACACACACACACACACACACACACACACACACACACACACACACACACACACACACACACACACACACACACACACACACACACACACACACACACACACACACACACACACACACACACACACACACACACACACACACACACACACACACACACACACACACACACACACACACACACACACACACACACACACACACACACACACACACACACACACACACACACACACACACACACACACACACACACACACACACACACACACACACACACACACACACACACACACACACACACACACACACACACACACACACACACACACACACACACACACACACACACACACACACACACACACACACACACACACACACACACACACACACACACACACACACACACACACACACACACACACACACACACACACACACACACACACACACACACACACACACGGGACTGTCTCAGCTGTTATTTTCGTTAAGGAGTGTGCACGTACAGCATGCGCGCCTCGTGCACGAGCCTACTATTGAAGCTGCCATCACGCTTTTGGCCTGAGGGGGCAATCGCGAGCATAAAAATGCAAAACTCCGTAAAGTCCCTTTAAAAGTAACTAAATAAAAATATAATATTTGGAGTCAAAAAGTTTTTGCAGCAGTGTGGAGGATTGATTTGTGGTGTTCTGTTGGTTTTCACACTCCCATCCAGAGAAAGACTGGGGTCAGGAGGATCGGAGTCGGGAGCAGCAGCTGATGGGAGAGCTGGTCGTCATCGTCGAGCAGAGGAACCAGATCATCAGCAGCTTGGACCTGAACAGACAGAGGTACAGCAGGGACGATGGCTCAACACGTGCTTTTGTATTCATCTATTTAAAAGTAAATGTTTTTGTCTTTGATTAGACAAACAAATGCAGGTGTGATCGTGGATGAGACGATGAAGGACAGAGGTGAGAAACTCGCTCGTATTCGACCAAATCGCCCGTCAGCTGCAGCTAACTTCGTCATCTCTGCTCAGATTTGCAGAAGGACGGATTAAAAGAGTCAAAGAAGTCAAAAGGAAAATTCAAGCCTGCAAAAGTGTTTAAAATGCTGAAACACTGAACAGGAAACAAAAAACTCTGTGGAGAAACTAACTTCCTCACCTCAGGTTGGAGGTTTTTAAGTATTTGCACCTTTCAGATGGTGAATCTATGATGTAAACATCTAACAGCAGCTCCGGTGGTGGGTCAGGGTTACAACCTGTGTGTGCTTCAGGCTGCCGACTACCATCATGTTGTTTGTAAGAACACGTTTACACACTCTGGAGTTTCATACGTGTCATAAGAACGTGATAAGATTGGTTTTATGGTTACATTACTCAGTTACAAAGTCTCTGTGAGCATCTTTCCACTAACCTGCACTTTTTATTATCTTTATAAATGATTTCTCTTTTAAATAAATGCATTAAAATAATGTATATTTCCTGTGGATTGTATTTATTGTGGACTGCACAACGGCAGCAAGAAGGTACCGGGTTCAAATCCCAACCTGGGGTCTTTCTGCAAGGAGTTTGCATATTTGCACCGTGTTGGTTCTCTACGGGTTCTCCAGCTTCTTCTCATAGTCCGAAAATGTGCATTTTAGGTTAATTGACCCTCTAATTGTCCTTAGGTGTGTGTGTGTGTGGTTGCACGGTTGTTTGTCCTGTGTCTGTGTTGCCCTGCGATCGACTGGCTACCCGTGATTGGGTGTACCCTGTCTGGTTGCCCGGCGACTGCTGGAGATAGGTGCCAGCCCTGCAAGGATCATCTAAGAGAGCACCCTACGGATCCACCTATGCTCCCTACATGGTGAAACATGTCCAGACGAATAGCCATCCCGAGTGTAGTATACAGGTCTTCATGGTGCAGATGCTCCTCCGTGTGGTTCTCTTGAACCTGTCTCCACACCATGGTTCTGTCACGGAAAATCTGCTCCACGTTTTTATCCACCCCGTACCTGTTATCAGAGTAAAAAGGATGTTTAGTTTCTTCTCAGACAAAACCTATGAGGAGAATAAACAGATGGAGACCACACTCACTTGCTCACGTAAGCACAGCAGGAAGAGCAGCTTGGTGAGCCTCGCCAAGCTGGGGCCAAATAGCAGGGTCTCACACAGACCACCATCCTTCGGTGCCTCCTTCTCCAGCTCTTGCAGCCTTGGTGCACGGCCCGCAGCACAGCCCTCGAGTCAGCATTGTGTACCAGCTGGACACATTACAGGTGTGGTGTGGCTGTGGGACAGTTGGGAGGAAATGAGATTTATGTTGAAAAAGTTGTTTCATACTTTGGTTTATATGCAAAATCATCTGTATTCTGTTAATAATGTCTGACGATGAGTCAAATGCCTGGTGATGATTTGAGTCCGTTCCATATGCATCTCCACGCAAACCCCAACAGATCTCTAAACAAACACCCTGCTGCAGATAAAGAGCTGAGGTCCAGGGACGGCTCCTCCGACGAAGCCCGGGGGGTTCCAGATGGAATAACCACACGCGGTCCAATTTAATAACACTGCAATTCTTCGGGGAATCGCTGTTGTCCCTGTGGATGTTAGTGGGCGTGTAGAGGCCGATGATGATGAGGATGAACAAACATAACAGTTTAACATAGTTTTCAATAATAAAGCGATTACTCCGGCACTTCATGTAGGTTTTGCTTACGTTAGATGTATGATGCTGGGGTGGGATGTCTGCATCTTGCTGCTGCTGCTGGGAAGTGTCCTTGGCTGGATTTAATGTGTTACCTCTTGCTGCTGCTTCACAGAATGTTAGAGCAGCTCGGATCAGCAGTGTGCTCTAGTGGGTCCAGAACAGCAGCAAACACAGGAGCAGGAGGAACAAACGCAGTCGTAGAAGATGGTTCGAGTAAATGTAAGAATGTTCTAAGCATCAGCAGCTTTCCATGGAAAAAAACAGCATTCCAACACCCACGGGCACAACTATTTTCTGAGGGGTATGCAGACACATAACGGGTGCCCACCACTGCTTCGTCGAACCTTGTTTTAATTAAATACGAAATATAATTCCAGTTACCCCACCACAAGATGCGCACCAGCACCGAAAAGCACACATGAAAAAGGTCAGAGGTGAAAAGGAGAACTACTCTAGGGGGTAGTTGGACATTTTAAGCATCAATCTGGTGCGTTTAAGAGAAAAAAGTTGAGTTATAGGCTGGTTAGAATCGGCTAGAATGTTTAATAAAGTATATGTATAAAGCATAATGATATTTTTGAAAGTCCTTGTTATATTCTTTCTGTTTCTTTTCTATTTCCACAGGTTTTCTGTTCTTGTCAGCAAAATAATGTAGAGCCTTTGCTGACCTGTGTTAGACAAGAATCCTGTCCTTTCTTTAACCCTTTTTGAACACTGAGTGAAATCCATTGATGCATCCATGCAGCTCAGTACCAGAACTGAACTGATGTCACTAGTTACCAAAAGGACATATCAGCTAAAGCTAGCTGCAGAATGTGTGAGCGTGCAGAACTACGTGACTCTTCTCACGACAATTTAAAGAACAAGTCACCCCCAAATCAACTTTTTCTTCTGATAAACTATATAAATGCGTGTCAAATCGTGCTGCAGACACGCGTAGTCAATAGTTTTGCACTTAAGTGCATTTTAGTTGAAAAATTTATTTTCTGCCTAAAACTGTCAGTGTTGTGCCGTTTTCCACTGCTCCTATCTTTTCCCATTATAACTTTTGTGAATTTTTCTGAAAATTTCATGTCGTACCTCAACTTCTACCTGCGATTTTAGAAAAACCGTAAAAAATATCAAAAAGCCTCTTTAATATGTTAAACAGGAAGGTCTTGTGAGTTTGTTAAACTTTGAATGAAGTCTCTAGGTTAAAAGGAACCCAATAGTTTTAGGTCAAAAAAGTGATAGGAATTTGCTGAAAATTGACCAATCCCATTCATTTCAATGGGAAATTTTTCACAGAAAAAGCTTAATAACTCGAAAAATTTTAAAGATATCAATGCCAAAAGTAATAGCTGGAAAGAGCTTAACGAGCTGAATGTTTTGATATAAAATTGTTGAAGTAGCTCAAAATTTGAAGGAGAAGAAGAGGTTCAAAAATTGTACCGAAGCAGAATAAGAAGAAGCAGAAGAATAAAGAAAAACAGGAAAACAATAGTTTGAATGCTTAACAGCATTCAAACAATTATCCATCAGGATTTAGTCATCATCACTGATTCACCAACATTCCTTTGTTTGAAAAGGAGTAGGCTGAAGTAGAAACTTACATATCCTTACCCCTTCTTACATGATATCTGTTACTTGTGCGTTAAATTGTAATATTGCATAAAAAAGAGAAAAAGAAAAGGAAAAAAAAACGTCATAAAGGGAAATGTTATCACTGTGAAATAAATGCAGCATGTTTTGTTGCATTGCCAGGATTATCAAGAAGAAAGAAAAAACTCATTCATAACTTGGAAAAGACAAGTTTAAGCTAGACATTTAGGATTTATTGAGAAGAAATTCCAAGTTTTATGGCTTCATTTCATTTTCTAGAACTTCTTTGTCTGACAGGATGTGTTTATTTTTATTTTTCAATTAATTAGGTTTGAGTAGTTCACACTCCACGCCAGTCGGGGGCGGTAATGTACTAAACAGTTGTTTGCCAACCGCATGAATCTTTACCATAGGTGGGTTTCAGTCACGTGGTTAGGTAAAAACCAAAACACGCCAGTTAAAAAAAGAAGCGTACTTGGTACAATGGAGGAAACTTTTGCAGAGAGTCCGTATTATGAAGCTTTAGACGTAGATTCCAAACAAAAGTACAAGGATTTAATCAGCAGATATGTTGGACGTGACCCGTTTATCATGAAAATGAGTGAGTTTTCGAAAGAACTTCGGCATTTGCCGACAGTCGAGGCTGTTGATATCACGAACTACCTGGTCCTTCAGACATTTTTCTACACGGTACAACAGATGAAAGCATATAAACGTCTGGAGGCGTATAACCTTTTTGTGAGCGGGTGTGTCCAAAACCTCGGTACCAAACGGCTCCCTGATGACTGCCGCCTTGTCTTCGCGAGGGTGAGTGTTTGTTTTAATGGACGCTAATAGATGCTAGCTTCAGCGGCTATAATGGCGACATGCACGACTTAGCACGGAGCTAATGTGTGTCCAGGTAGTTTTGGAGCTAGAGTTCCGTTGGGGTCCGGATGCAGAAGTTATGGTGAAATCTATCTTTGTAGAAGTTTGGCAAATCAAGTAAAGGTTTCACAAATCACACACCGTTTTATTCAAAACAATTATTCTCTCTCTCTCTCTCTCTCTCTCTCTCTCTCTCTCTCTCTCTCTCTCTCTCTCTCTCTCTCTCTCTATATATATATATATATATATATATATATATATATATATATATGAAAGATGTAAGATGGTGCTTGTCCATGTAAGGCCCTATAGACCAGAACCAGGATCTTGAAATGAACCCTGAAGTTGACTGGCAGCCAGTGAAGCTGGAGGAGAAGCGGGGCGATGTGGGTGTGTTTGGAGGACTTGGTCAGAAGCCGAGCACAGGCATTCTGAACCACCTGTAGACGGTTCAGGGAGGTTCTGCTCAGACACTTGAAAAGAGAGTTACAGTAGTCTAAGCGTGAGGAGATGAAGGTGTGGATAACTGTCTCAAGTTCAGAGTGGGACAGAATGGGACTCAGCAACGTTCCTGAGATGGAAAAAGGAAGAGTGAACAAGAGAACTGACATGAGAATCCAGGGTGAGAGCTGGGTCAAAGGTCACACCAAGATTCCTGACAGAAGGTTTGGTGTGAGAAGCAAGCTGACCAAGAGAGTCTCTGACTTTGGGAACCAGCTTGTCTGGGGCACAGATGAGGATCTCAGTCTTATCTTCATTCAGCTGAAGAAAGCTCCCACCATCCAGGTTTTGATAGAGTCTAAGCAGGTGTGTAACAGCTGCAGCTTAGACATCTCATGGGGCTTAAAGGAGATGTACAGTTGGATGTCATCTGCATAAAGATGGTAGGAGATTCCTTTGAAGGAGCTCAGGATGCGCTGAAGAGGAAGCAGATAGAGGAGGAAGAGCAGAGGCCCGAGCACAGAACCTTGTTCTTGTTGTGGCTTGTTATTGCAGACTTTTTGGGTATTGGCACTATTGTGGAGGTTTTTAGACAGGTGGGACAGAGACATGTTGAAGACCTCAGTGAGGACCTCAGCCAGCCCGCTGCAGTCATGTAGCACCTTTCCGAGTATGCCACCTGGACCAGCTGCGTTTCCTCGTGTTAACCCTTCTGAGTGTACGCTGTACCTCAGCTGCACCTGGCTGTCGTTCGTTGGTGTTGGACCTGGAGTCATGGTTCCAGCAGTTGTCACCTCATGGCAACCAAAGAAGCTGTTGAGCTCTTCAGCCAGTCTGGCAATAGGTGCGTTTCTATTACCTGAACTTCAGGGTAGCTTTACGGGAGCCTCCCATCACGCGTGTGTCTCCCATTTGATCGGGCCAGCTGAACAGCCATTTTCAGGAAACATCTGAGTACCTGATCAGGGGTAGCTTTCTTGGGAGTGACGTGGTAAACTGCCTGGTTCAGTTAGTAGGCGGGTATGCTGCCGATTGGCTGCCCGCCGAAATGATGTAAATGCAGCAGGAAATAGGAAATGAATATGGGGCAAGGAACCAGCCTTTAGGAAAGCACGAGTTGTTCGATGACGTAACACACAACGCAGTGATCGCGATGTGCTGACATTTTAGCAAATTCCTTACACGGCCAAACTGTAAATGGAGACACGACAGCTAAGAGGACCAGGACTTCATGTCTCCCGGTCAGTTTCCCCCTTGCTGCATTTACCTTGAAGTTCCAGTAATGGAAACAAAGCTATTGTTGTTGGATGGTGAGGTGGCGCTGGTCTGATTTGTGATGTGCCGTACCTCTTGCCCTTATGGACTCGGCTATTAGTCTGGAATAATCTGGTCTAGGTTCTGTAGATTTTAAGATGGACTAGTTTCAATGTGGTCAAAATGCAGAAAGGTGCTAAAATTCCTTTTAAATTAACGTTCAAATGTCAAATAAAGGTTTCACAAATCACAAACAGTGTTTTTCAGACTCTGTTATTAGTCTAGATTAGGGCTGCAACAAACGATTATTTGGATAATCGATGAATCGGATGGGGTCTCGACACGATTAATCGATTAATCGGATTACATGGGGACATTGTTAAAAACTGCTAGGGAAACGTTATTTCTCTCCTTCCTTCACTTTATTAAACACAACATTATTAGAAAACAGTTCAATAGCAGAAAAACAACATGCCATCACCTAAATTGTCTTATAAGGTGTATAGACAGAGACCCTAAGCTACACCTATCTGTGACCTAAAATGCTTGGTCCAAGTTAAACAGCTTAAAGAGCAAGTCAACCCCTACCAGAGTCTAATTCCACTCCCACTTCATGTTTGAAAAATGCAACACATGCTGTTGCCTGGCAGACCGAGAGGGCAGAGCCGCTAACAAATATACACACACTCAGGCTCACGACAGCATTGTGACATCATAATGTACCAGTTTACATCATAGCATACTTCTTAGCCAATAGCGGTGGCAGATTTAAATTAAAATACAGTGCAGAGTTTTTACCTGACAACGGCACAGCACTGACAGTTTTAGGCAGAATATTTAAATTTTAACTAAGATGCACTGAAGTGCCAAATTATTGACGACACGTGTCTGCAGCACGATTAGACACTCGTTTATTTAGTTTATAAGCAAAAAAAAAATGTTTATTTGGGGGTGACTTGCTCTTTAAGGGGAACTCTCATCTGTTTTGTTTGATCTCATGTGTAGACATTTATTATAATTGGGGATGTCAAACAACTAATTTTTAAATGTAATTAAACATAGGCTGTGAATTAATCAAAATTAATCACTATTTCCAAAAATGACTGAAAAAATAACAAATAAAACAAAAGTAAATGAATGCCATCCTCCTTGCGATGATGCCCTGGGCAACTGCCATAAAGTCACATCAAGAAATGCTGCTGATCATTCCAATGATCCCAAATAGACTCACATTAGGCCACATGAAAGCAACTGAACCCAAAAACATATTAACCAGTATATAACTGCACTCTCACACAACACACCTGCAGCAACAGTTAGGACTCCTCCCTCCCTTTTAAAAGCGTTTTCGCTTCTGAGGACATTGTGGTGCTAGTAGTCTGGCCCCGGTGTGATCAACCAGTTTCTGCGGGAATGTGACGGCGGAACCGGTTCGCAGCGGCGCGAGTCCCCCCCCCCCCGCCCATCTAATGGCGTCGCGCTTACGATTTTATAGACTTTTTTTACGAGCTTAGGGCATGTCTAGCCTGTGTAATAATCCGGGGCTTGGGTGAATCACTTTTGAAAAGTTTTTAACTTACCCGGACACCGAGCTCTCTCCTTCCTCGCTGATGATTCGCATAATCACTGAAGTACTCCCGTGCCATGCTAAGTCTGACCTACAGACATTGCAGGTAACGAATGTCTTCGCCTGATTTAACTGAAAATGCTCCCAAACTTTAGAAGTTTTTACTTTTTTGGGTCTGGCTGCTTCTGCCATGTACCTCTTCCGAACACCTGCCGGCTCTCCCTCGCGCTGATCTGACTTGCTTCCGGTCTGTGCGCAACGGCGGCCGGGGGGGTGGGGGGCTTTTGGAAGAGTTGCGCAACACAACGAATCGATGACGCAATTCGTTGCCAACGCTTTTAGTAATCGATTTTCATCGAATTTATCGATTCGTTGTTGCAGCCCTAGTCTAGATCAACCTTTTCCAAGTCTGAAGAGTATAGATGTAGTTTTATAATTAGGAGCAGATTAAAAATGCTCAGGGAGTGGAAACTCAGGTTGGAATTGCCCTTTTCTAAAGGGGAACCAACATCTGCTTACTCATCTTAAAGACGTCATAAGCCTGACAGCTGTTTATGTTGGAAGGTAAACCGCTCTCAGAGATCCGGTGAAGCCCCTCTGAAAACCTGGATTATTGCCAAGGAGGATGGAGAAGTCATTGCAGCTCATTGCAACTGCACGGCCAGGTAAGTGATTTCCGTAGGCGACGGTGTTCATGTGGGAGCGGTTATTGCATTTTCCGCATGTTTCCTTTCAAACTATATACTGCCTAATCAGTGCATCTAATTATTTTACAAACAGTATGTGTATTTAACTGTTGTACAATGTAATCGAAGATTGCATTTGAGGCTTATAAAATTCATATTATATTGTGTTCACAGCCTCTCAGAATCATGTTCTCATGTGGCGGCAGTCCTTTTCTCCATCGAGGCTGAGGTACGAGCGCGAGATGCAGGTTCCTGCACATCAGCGCAGTGCAGGGTGCTGATGCCATCCAATGAAAAAGAGGTAACCTGAAACTTTCACATCAAACCAAATGTGGGACATTAAATAGAATGTATTTATATTTTTCCCCTTTGGTTATGTCATGGGTTGTTTTCAGGTGCCTGCTGCTCCAGTGGCTGAGATCGACTTCTTCTCACCAAAGTCCAAGAAGCTAAAGCCTGACTGTTCCACTGATGGCAGGACAGCTGAAAATGAGCCTGGGAAATGTCCTCCATGCCCAAGAGTGAAGAGGGGCTCAGAAACGTATTGTAGGTTTTTGGAGAACCTAAGGAAAAACTGTCCAAACAGTGTAGCACTGATGTTTTTAACCATTCCACAAACTGCTCCTAAAGAGCATGACTATTACTATGGCAGCAATACGTTTAATTAACGTCACAAGTCTAGCTTTGTTTTCAAACATCACATTTTCTCATTCATTAAAAATGTCCTTGGAATCAAACTGGCCTCTGTCACTTGTTTAGCTTCAACTAAAGTGCTCCAAATGCACATCATTTTAAAGGGGCATTATGGAAGTTTGACAGCCAAAACATGTATAGAAATAATAAATGTCTTCTTCATACATTCTCCTGCAATGCCCTGGTCCTGTAGAATGAGCCCTGGCATTTTCACTGTGATTGCCTGTTTTTCTGTAAAATCACAGAAAAAGAGAGATGCTCGGGTCGAGCAGGCTGCTTCATGCGCGTTCACGCTCAGGCATCGCCCGTAGCAGTAGCTTTAGTTTTTGTCGCTGTTCCTAACGCCTAGTGACAAAGCTAGCTACATTTCTGAGGACCCTTAGCTACTTTCTGTAGAACTTTCTTCTAGATATTTCCTGCAAATTAGCAATAAAATAGCCATTTTCGCTCCGAACCGTTCTTTGAACGTTGTTTCAGCTGTCATCAAGGATATAAATGTTACAGATACAAAGGACGTCACTGGTGCTTTAACTCAACTAGTAAGACGTCTGACTCGTGCAGAAAACCCGTGATCGATTCTGGATGTGAACATAGTTTATGTAGAGTTTCTTTTTTAAATTAATGGTATATTTTTTTACAGTAAGATGCCCAAATTTTTATTTGAGACTCGCCGAACGGCATTGAATTCACAGATAAAAAAGATGTGGGTTCAACTTTCATTTTGGAACAATTTTTCAAGCAAGGGAAGGGAATGATCTGAGCATGCAGGAGGACTGACCCATCATAAACCTTTGTCGGCTGTGCTGAAGAGAAAGGTACAGAACCAAATTATTTAATTAATTAGCTGCTCGTTCTCCTGTCCTCTGTCCTCCGGGCCCCCCACACACACACACACACAAGGGACTGTCTCAGCTGTTATTTTCGTTAAGGAGTGTGCACGTACAGCGCGCGCGCCTCGTGCACGAGCCTACTATTGAAGCTGCCGTTACGCTTTTGGCCTGAGGGGGCAATCGCGAGCATAAAAATTCAAAACTCCGTGAAGTCCCTTTAAACAACAGGCACCTACAGTCTTCTGGGCAGAGAAAGTGTTTCTGAACTAAAGCGTGTTGGCAGCAGCTCACCTGTTCCTTCCACACTGGCAGGAGAAATCCTCTCATCAAGCAGCGGGTGATCAACAGATTCACTGAGTACAGGCCCGAAAAAAACAAAAAGATGACTAAAAACACCGACCTCAGACCGGCTCACCGGGAATTTCCCCAGCTTGGTTATGCCCGCCGTCCCCGTTACGTAGGAGCTGCATCACGTTTACTCTCATCGTGATGCCGTAGCAAACAGGAGGAGCAAATGCGGTCCTAAAAGTCTTTTAAAGCTGAATAAAGAACACGTTTAAGAATGTTTTAAGCACCAGCAGCTTCCCATGGAAAAAACAGCATCCCAACACCTAACTGCATACACCACATGGAGCGATTACGTGTTTTGTACTATGAATAACAGTTTCATAGATGCTACTGGCATTACTACTACTACTACTAAACTTTATTAATATAGAGCCTGCACATGGCCCAAGGACCAAACAAAGCACTGCACAGCAAAAATAAACATAAAAAATAAATAAAAACATATAAAACAATTTAAAAACCAACAAAACCATGCAGATAAAATCTAGGTGGGGCAGGAAAAAAGTGCAAAGTTAACGAGGCTCTTCTTGAATAAAAGCTAAAGAGTAAAAGTGTGTTTTCAGCTGGCTCTTAAACTTGCCGAGCGTGGTGGCCTGTTTAACACATGTAGGTAGCTCATTCCAGAGCCTCGGCCCCAGCACCGAGAAAGCACGACCCCCTCGAGTTCGTAGTCTGTGTTTAGGAACGACCAACAGTCCTTGTTGTGCTGCCCGAAGATTCCTTGCGGGAACATATGGATGGATCAGATCTGACAGATAATGTGGAGCCAACTCATTTAAACATTTAAAAACAAACACCAGAACTTTAAACAAATTTCTAAAAGAGACTGGAAGCCAGTGAAGGGACGCCAAGACAGGCGTGATGTGTTCAGATTGCCTGGTACCAGTCAGCAGCCTGGCTGCCGCATTTTGGACCTTCTGTAGTTTCGCTACGGAGGCCTGCTTGATGCCTGCATAAAGCGAGTTGCAGTAGTCCAGTCTGGTGGTAATGAAGGTGTGGATGACAGTTTCCTGATGTTTATGTGAAAGAAACGGCTTAATGGTAGCTATTCTCCTGAGATGGAAATGGCAGGATCTGATTGTTCCATTGACCTGGCTGTCCAGTGTGAGCTCAGCATCCAACTTCACCCCCAGGTTGGTGACCACAGCCTTCTCCAAAGGTGCTAATGAAGGAGAGTCAATCCCTTGGGCACATCCATGTTTGTATTTCGGGCAGAATACCTACCAGAATGGTGATCGTAGATTAAAATGGTTATAAATGATGTGGTATAGAAACACCATTAAAATCCAAAACTTACAATGTTCTTACTGTTATTTGCTTTGGAGCAGCAGAGCGATCAGCAAATCTATATAACGTATTAAAAAGTGGTCGGATGGAGATGGTAATAAAGATTGATACTATGTGCAGGGAGAGGTCGTCTTTTCCAGATCTAACAGGAACATTTAATGAAAACGTTGAACCCAAAAGGGCTTTAGACAGGAAATATTTTTCATGACAAATATCAGCCCGCCTGTCGGCTAATCCCGTATGGAACGGACCGGTGTTGTTTCAGAACTCCTGTTTAAGGAAAACCTGGCAGGTGAGGCTCTGCCTGTCAGCTGCTGTGCAGTTGATCCACTATTGCGCATGACATAAGAAAGATGAAGAAGAAACGATCTTTTTTTTAAAGCGCCTCTCAAGATTAAAATACACCAATGAGTCTTTTGAAGCCTTGTGAAAGTAAGCCCGTGACTACACAAGCAACAAGAGGAGAGGACTCACACTGTGTTCCTCTGTCCGTGGTGCTGAAAGTAAAAGGCCTGCATTATTGGGTGATGTGATGAATTAAATAAAACTTATTTGTGGCATATTACGTACCGACTGACAAAGTTTATTTAAAACCAACGCCACCTTCGGTAATTTTCGCCCAAGGAATAAGTTTGAAATTACCACCGGGCACGAAGGTCCCCGAAAGAAAGAAATTGCGTGGCCATGCAATAATTATTGCGTTTCCTCTATTATTGTAAGTAAATTTTATTTCTATAGCACTTATCCCAGACATAGAATCTCAAAGTGCTTCACATAGATCAAAATAAAACAGTCATAAAATCATTAACAGATTAACATCATAAAATCAAAATGCTCTCAAAACAAAATTAGATTAACATCAGAAAAAATAAAGTCTTAAAATTATAAATGTTCATAAACAGGTGAAAGTTTAAAAATTTGGGTTAAAAATAAGAAAATAAAAGGTTTAGTTAAAAGCAGCTTTAAATAAAAGGGTCTTTAGCTGTTTTTTTTATAAGTGTCCAGATTGTCAACGCTGCGTAAGGATGAAGGATTCCAGAGTCGGGGTGCAACAGTGTGGAAGGAGCGATCACTTCAACTTTTATATCTGGTCTTTGGAACTTCTAGAGGGTTCTGGAGTGTGGACCTGAGGGCTCAGGTTGGGGCATAAGGCTTTAACAATTAGGTAATATAGGGAGGGGCTTGGCCATGTAGAGCCCTGAAAGTTCTAGTCAGGACTCTAAAATGAACTCTAAAGTTAACGGGTAACCAGTGCAGAGACATCAGAATAGGAGTGATGTGTGCTCTTCTGTTTGCTCCAGTTAGGAGCCTCGCTGCAGAGTTCTGGACCAAATGAAGGTGGTCAATGGCTTTTTTGTTAAAACATGTGAAGAGTGTGTTCCAGTGATCTAGATGGGAGGAGATAAAGGCATGGATATCGATTTCAAGTTCATGTTTTGACACCAACCTTCTGAGTTTGGAGATATTTCTTAAATGATAAGAACAGTTTTGGACCAACGTTTTTGAGTGACCTTCAAGAGACATTGATAGGTCAAAAACACCCTATTTCCTTAAGTTTGTCTTGACGGCAGAGGATAAATGACCAAGTTTTAGACTAATCAGGAGAACCATGCTCTCAGGGGCAAAGCTCAGACATTCAGTCTTTTCAGAGTTTAACTGGAAGAAGTTATCTTCTAGCCAGCTGGTGATAGCTGATAGACACTCTAGTAATTCAGACAGTTTGTAGAACTCAGAATCCTTAAAGGAGCAGTACAGCTGAATGTCATCTGCATATAGGTGATAAGAGACATTATGAGAAGAATCAAGTATCTGTCCAAGAGGGTGTATGTACAGCAGAAACAACAGTGGACACAAAACAGAGCCTTGGGGTACCCCACAGAACAGATAGGTAGAATCTGACATGATCTGGTTTCTACAGACACTGTAACTTCTGTTAGAAAGGTACGATCTAAAGCAGTCTAGAACAGCTTCAGAGATCCCCACCGAGTCACCAAGTCTGTTAATTAAGGTGCTGTGTGAGTGTTCCAGTGCTAACAACAGTTAACTGTGTGATAAGTTTAACCTGCGCAAACATTTTCAGTCGGGGATCAACATGTCTTACTTTCAAAAGACCCCAAAAAAGAACTTCCTCTTCAGGGAGTTGATAAAAAATACGGTAAAATTAGAATTTTTTTTAAATAAAAATGTAAGAAAAGGGAAAGAGAAAATCAATAGGAAAGAGTGCAATCGGTGGATCCCGGGAGAGACGGAATTGGTAAAAAGGTCAGAACAAGGAGAGGGTGGTGATGAAGGTCACACCAAAGCCTGAACAGGTGAGTCTTCAGCTGCTTCTTAAAGGAGACCACTGAGTCCACTGATCTCAGGCTCAGGGGGAGAGAGGTCCAGAGTCTGGTGGCCACAGCAGCAGAAGATCTGTCACCTTTGGTCTTTAGCCTGGTGCTGCACAGCCAGTAGGCTTTGATCACTGGACCTCAGGGACCTGCTGGGGGTGTAGGGACTAAGAAGATCACCAATGTAAGATGGTGCTTGTCCATGTAAGTCCCTATAGACCAGAACCAGGATCTTGAAATGAACCCTGA